AAGAAAGAAAGAAAGAAAGAAAGAAAGAAAGAAAGAAAGAATCAATCAATCTGCAGGAGAAAAAAATCCATCAGCATCCCCAACCAGTTTTGATGTAGGCTAAGTCTTGCTAGAGGGATCCTTGGTGCCCTCTGAGCTTGGTGGTTTTCTTGCAGATGTTTCATTACCTAAACTAGGTAACATCATCAGTGCTAGAGGGAGGAGGAGGAAGAGGACTGTGGGGTCTTTAGTGCTCTCTGAGCTGGGTTGCTTTCTTGCAGACGTTTCATTACCTAAGCCAGGTCACATCATCAGGGTTAGTCCAAGGACCCCTCATTTCAACCCTGAGCTAGCAATCATCTCCTTCAGAAGTCTTGCTTATTGGGTAACACGTGCATTTCCCCTGCCTTTTAGCAACTTTCTCCTGAGTCTACTTTCATAGACATCCCGAATATAATTCATCATCCCTCGGGTCAAACTCTGACTTCAAAAATGGAGATTCTTCCACCTGGGCATTGGAAAACCTGGCTAGGTATGCTAAAGAAGCCACTGAGATTCCAATTTGCAAATGTCAGAAGAACTTCTAAGACAGATAGAAAAGATTATTTGTAGCTGGGGGGGTTGAACTGTGAGGTCCTTGATGCATCGTTGTTTTCTTTGCAGACATTTCAATACCCAGGGCTGGGCTGCTGAGGGGTTTGCAGGGATTCGGGAGATCCTCTAACTAAGATTCTCTGCAGTTCAGAGAAATCCCAAATCCCACTCCTGGCTGGCCCCTCCCACCCCGCTCCGCCCCTCCCAGGTGACCCCAGGTGGCCCGTTTTGGGTGCAGGTTAAGTGCATGGAGGCTGGGGGAGGGCCAAGAATGGCCCACCCAGAAGTTTGGGAAGGGCGGAAATGGTTCTGTTTCCAGCTTCCAGAGAGCCTCTGGAGCCCGGGGAGGGCAAAAATGCCCCCCACCCACCGTGGCGCAGGAGGCCAACTAGGCCACGCCCACCATGACCACACCCACTCAGCAACTGGGCAGAGAACCCCTCTCTAAAAATTTTGAAGCCCACCCCTGTCATTACCCAACTAGGTAACGTCATCGTGGCCTAGCTCAGGGGTCACCAACCTTTTGGGCCTCAGGGACCACCAAACTCATAATTTTAAATCCCGGGGACCACTAATACAAATTTTGACTGACGGTGGCTTGCTGACGTTGGTGGGAGAGAGAGATCGAGAGAGATCTGATCTAACCTCTCTCCCTCCCTCCCTCTCTCACAAACACACAGAGGCAGGGGTGGGATTCAAATTTTTTAACAACCGGTTCTGTGGGCATGGCCTAATTTGTGGGTGTGGCTTGGTGGTCATGTGACTGGCTGGGCATGGCTTGTATGTCAATATTATAAATATTTATATAAATATAGAATTTTTTTAATAAAAAAACGCAACTTTTACCCAAAATCAGGCAAAGCAGGCAGGCAGATTAAGTTGCTCACAGAATCACAGATTCACTTAGAGATCAGTGTTTCTGCCATCGGCTAGCTGTGTCTGCACTGCTTCAGTCCTAAGGAAGGTTCAGCTCTGCTTAAAAGCAGAGCGGAAGATCTAAAGACTAGCTAGAAAGCGAGGAACGCAATGATTTCCTGCTTTCTAGCTAATCTAAATCTCCCGGCATAGCAGGACAGCTGATGGTCAGAAACAGGAAAAAGAGCAATTTAGCAGGCAAGTTTGCCAGGTAAGGTGTGAGTGGGCGATGAGGGTTCCCGCAGGCCATGTGGGCAGCACAGCCTTGTGTTTCTACGCAGCCTGGATTAATTGCTTTGGAAAGGTGCTCTGGGGGTGACATTCCTCTGCGGACCACCAAAATTTTCTCACGGCCCACCGGTTGGTGACCGCTGCCCTAGAGAGCAAACCCAACACCCTTCTAACACTGACAATGCTAGCTAGTTGGGTCTTGAAATGTCTGCTAAGGAAACCAAGCTCTAAGAGCACCCAAGACCCCACAGAACCTCTAAGAAACGTCCACCCATGTGACCAGTGACCCATAGAGGTGAACGGGCTCCTTTTGAGAGACTACCTTCAAGGTGAGTATAGGAAGCCATCTGGCGGGAGCCTTTTTGGATCCCTACCCTAAGCAATAGGCTGGGCTTCATTGCCGCATTGGCTCCTTCTAACTTTTGCCGTTTGTGGTATTTTTTTTACAGCTCTGTGCACTTCATCTGCATCTGTTCTGACCTGCGAATTGGTGTTCAAACCACCATCCCTGCTGACAACAAAATTTTTCAACCCTTTGGAAACAAGACCAGGAGGAGGAAGGCCTGACAGCAAAGCCTGCCAAATTGGGTCTGGGCCTTCCTGAGGATTGCAACGAGATCAAAAAACAAAACAAAACCCATCCCCTCTTTGAACTGAACAGGGATGTTTTGAGAGGAAGGAGAGGGAAAACGGAAGAACCGCTTGTCAAAAGCTGGCATTTACTGGGATTCCTGCAGGCGGCAGGAGTTGGAGCGGATGGCCTCAAGGGTGCCTCCTGGCTATTACAGCTTTGAAGTGCTTACCTTTGTGACAGCTGTTCTCCAGCCAGAGGCCTGTAGGCTACTAGACCTCTAGTACTGGTGCTTCCCCTTCCCTTCTTCCCCAGCCTTCCTCCCTCGAAGTGCCTCCTGCCCTTTTAGAAAGGGCAGAATCCAGAAAAGGAAGACCAAAACTACTCCAGCCTCTACTGTAACCAGCAAACAATAATGACCAATACAGGAGAAATATTACTAGATCAAGGTCTACCTGAAGGGTCCTTGGTGCTCTCTGAGCTTGGCGGTTTTCTTGTAGTCGTTTCATTACCCAACTAGGTAATGTCATCCGTGCTCATCAGAGTTTCCTGGTGACTGGCCCAAAATCACCCACCCTAAGGAGGAACTAGAATTCACCATCTCATGATGATTGAGCCAAAGTCATCCAGCTGGCTTTTATGCCTAGGCTGGGACTAGAACTCACTGACTCCCGTTTTCTACCCTATTTTAGTTTCATCTATCAAACCATTATCAGTCCTGGCGATGCCAGTTGGCATGAGAGCAGGAAATTATATTGAAAAATGGGCATTGCTAAGAAGGGCTACCGCAGGGTTCTGCAGGCTTCAGAGCGACCAGCCCAATTTTCTTTGCCAGATGCCAGATTGCTGGCAGGTGGAGCTGCTAACTAGGATTTGAACCTGGGCCAAGCACAATTCCAGTAAACAAAGGCAAAGAGGGAAACAAATCACCGGGACAGAAAAAAAGCAGCGGAGAGGAGTGGGGAAAGGGGGCTGCTGTTGCCGAGATTCACGGAGCGAACCTTTCCATGAAGCTGGGTTTCATTTCAAGGCTGTAAATCTTGAAGTTTCTCAAGGAGGTTTTGTTGAAAACAATGTCACCAATTAAGCCTGCAAGAGAAAAGAAAGTAAGGCTGATGAATCACCTTTCAAAGGGGGAGGCAGGGCCGGCTGCCAAGAGCGGCGGCCGCTGCTGCCACCCTCCGTATCTGGCGTTGGGGGTCCACGCAATTCTGAATCAGAACAGAGCTGGAAGGGACCTTGGAGATCCTCTAGCCCAACCCCCCGCTCAAGCAGGAGACACTATGCCGTTTCAGATAGGTGGCTGTCCAGTCTCTTCTTAAAAGCCTCCAGTGATGGAGCAGCCCACAATTTCTGGAGTCAAGTCGTTCCACTGGTTAATTGTCCTTACTATTAGGACGTCTCTCCTCAATTTCAGGTTGTTTCTCTCCTTGATTAGCTTCCACCCATTGTTTCTTGTCCTTCCTTCTGGTGCTTTGGGAAATAAATTGACCCCCTCTTCTTTGTGGCAGCATCTTAAATAGCAATAGCAATAGCACTTAGACTTATACACCGCTTCACAGTGCTTTTTACAGCCCTCTCTAAGCGGTTTACAGAGTCAGCCTCTTGCCCCACAACAATCCGGGTCCTCATTTTACTGATCTCGGAAGGAGGGAAGGCTGAGTCAACCTTGAGCCTGATGAGATTTGAACTGCCAAATTGCAGGCAGCCAGCAGTCAGCAGAAGTGGCCTGTAGTCCTTGCATTCTAACCACTGCACCAGCACGGGCTCCTATTGGAGTATTAGAATATTGGAATGAATGAATTTCTGTTCCTTGCAGGCAGCTGGTCATTTGCATCCTTTTCAGAGTTGTTGAGGCCACCTGAAAGTTTATCAGAGGCCAGCTATGCGAAAATTGAACAGCCCCCACTCAACAGAGGGGGAGGAACACGAGATCATCTATTTCCAATCTACAACACAGTCCTTTCAACACTTCCAAAAAGGCTCCACACCCATTTGCACCACTCAGGTGACCCTGAGGACATAGATAAACCTCCAGGTGACCTTAAGTGACCTACTAAGAGGATGCAAATGACCAGCTGTCTGCAAGGAGTATAATTCCTTCCATTCCCCACCATCCAGTCGGAGCTGAAGAAGCCTCTCAGATGAGAAGCGAAACGCCTTCAAAGAAAAAAAACCAGAAAGTCCACTTGCCTCTTGAAAAAAAAAAGCACCTTTGGGGCATCTTTCGGGGTACAGAAGTTCAAGGTTGTTGCTTCAAAGCAGGGAACATACAACCCAGGCAAAACTTTCTTTTAATTACAATGAAAGTCACGAGAACCGAAAACTGTGTGTGTCTTACCTTTCCGTTGGTTGTTCAGATTAAGCCCATAGTTTACTCTCCCAGAGTTCTCGACTAAAATTTGCAGCTGCCTATATCCCTGCAAGGAATAAGAAAGGCAAAACAGGTCGTCCTTGACTTACGACCACAATGGAGCCCAAAATGTCATGTTCTTCAGTGAGAAATGTGGCTGAGAGAGTCTTGCCCTGTTTTATGACTTTTCTAGCCACCTCCGCTAAGTGAATCCTTGCAAGCTGTTAAATTAATCAGATAGCTGTTAAGTGAATCTGGCTTCCCCATGGACTTGTGAGAAGGTCGCAGAGGGGATGGGTGGGCGGGTGGCTCCATTGGCTGTGGAGGAAACTGGGGAAGGGCAAAGTCCGGTTGGGCAGAGCAGGGGAGAGGTAGAGCAAGGCAGAGGGAATTCAGAAGAAGACCCAGGCCCACCCCCTCTTCATCCTAGGGCACGCAGGCAGGAACGCAGAAGGGAGCAACGTGGGTTGCATGGCTTACGGGGGAGGAAAGGGCCCTGATTCCCTTCATTAGTTGCAGCTGAGAACAGAGTGGATAAAAAGAGGAAGCTGCACACAACAAGTTGTTGAGAGCAAACATGAATTTATCTGATATCGTTGAGGCTTATCTGTGTTCTGGTGTCTTCCCAGCTGTGTTGAGTTTTGCTGTGCTTTCAAGTCTGAAATTCCTTCTCCTGCCGTCAAACTAATTAGTTCAGTTTGGTTTGTTTGGATTTTTAGTTACAGTTTGTGTGGACCTTGTTTTGGACTGAATTTTCTACAGTTAAAGGCTGATCCTGGGAGAGTTTTTCTCCAGCCAAAGGTAACCTGGACATTGGGGGCAAAGTTGGAGATAATAAAGGGACTCTTATTGCTTATTTGACTGTGTCGCCTCTGTGCCATGCCCCGGGTCATCACAGCGGATATGTAAAGAAGATCTGCAATTCCAGCTGTTTTTTTTTTCCTGACTGCTCACCTGTCGGTTAGGAATGGGCAGCTCCTGTACATTGTAATCAAGGTGGCCAATGTATCGAGTATTAACAAACACCTGCAAGAAAAGAAGAAAGAAAAACAGACAAGGTATCAACTCATAAAACATTTCTATGGCTGTTTTAGAGTTGCCAACAGAAAGAGGGGGGAGGGGGAAGGGGTTTGAAAGAGCAGTGCGGCAGCTTGGAAATCGAAAGTGCATTCCATGCATGGTTTTTCAGAGATTGTAACTAGGTGACTGAAGTTTCTGCCGCGCAAAAATCTAACTGGAGAACATGATTGATGACTCGTGGCTATGGATGTGTCCCATTGGAGAATATGAATTATGATACACCCAGAGGTGGTGTAGGGTGAGAATGAATGATGTGTCTCAGAGTCTGCTACACCCAGGTTGTGCTGGCATGTTAACTCCCAATAAATCCTGTTTAGCTTTGGAGGTTTGGCTCGAGACTTATGATTTAATTGGGGTAACTTCCAGAATCCTGATATAAAGCATCTTTTAATTTTCACAAAAGTCAGGAGATTAGAGGAGGATTTACAGACGGTCACACGAGGAGACCAGAAGAACCTGATGAGAATTCCAGCTGTGGGAATCTGATCCAAGCACCGGGGGTAGCCGTGTTATAATTAGAATCACTTAAACAGATTACAGAAACGGACGGAATGAGGGGGAATTAATTAAACAAACCTAGATTATTCAGCCTCAGTAAGTTACAATTAGCAGGTTGGACCACAAAAAAGGAAAAAAATATTTTCTGCTTTTAAAGGTATTCTGTCTATTGTAACGCCGAACCTTTTTTGTGTATTTAAAAGCTTCCGTGGGTAACTAGCACTCAAACCTAGTTTTGTGGGTCAACAGGTAAAAGGGAAGACTTTCAGAACAGGGCCTAGGTAAGGCAATCTATATTGAAGACCAAACTTCTGAACACAACTGTAGATTATGTGCGTAAAACTTACAGGTAACCCACAACATATGACCACAATGGAGCCCAACATTTATGTGGCTAAGTGAGGAATTTGTTAAGGGAAGTTTTGCCCCGTTTTACGATCTTCCTTGCCACGACTCCGGAACACTGCAACCATCATAAATATGAATTAGTGGCCAAGCATCCGAAAGTTGATTACAATGGTCACTAAATAACCCAAACAATTGGGGAGTGTGGGAACTGAAGTCACCAGAGTTTCAAGGTGTTTATTCAAGAAGTGAACCTCGTGTCAGGGCTCCGAGAAATCCACCCCCATTCAAATCATAAGTCTCTAGCCACATCTCTCAGAGTTAAAAAAAAAAAAAAAGATTTATTAGGAGTGACCATGTCGGTGTTACCTGGGTGCAGCTGACACTAAGACACATTATTCATTTCCCCCTTGACCCTGGTCTTCTCCCCCACCCCCTGGAATGTATATTCTCCAATGGGACACATCCATAGCCAAGAGTCATCTATCATGCTCTCCAGTAATAATCTTGCGCGCCAACAGCTTTGGCTGCCTAGCAATTATCTGAAGCATTTAAGGAATGCTCTACTTTCCCCACTCCCTTTCTGCTGGCAACTAATTTTTTAGTTGACACCTCGATCCAAGGAGTTAACTTAAGATCTAGCCAGCTTTTCCCTCCCAGGAGGTCGTAACCTCACACGTCCATCCTCACCTGTGCTCGGTCTCGGATGTAATCACGGGAATAGAGGGTTCCTCCACCGAGGATGACCGTTTCATAGAGGGTGTAGCCAAATGCCTGCCCATTGCCATTATTTATTGGCAAGTTCTCCATGTTAATAGGGTATTCTGACTTCACAATCTGTAGAACAGAAACCAGAACAGGATCCTAACAGCAGCTGCTAAGAAATAAGGTGTGTGTGTTTTTTTTTTTTCCCTTAATGAGTTCATGAAACAGACACAGCTCCATAATAAGCTAACACCTTCGGTGATAATAAGGAGAGAGAAAAATAGGGGTAAGGTTTGCTATGTGGGTCCTTGAGCTCGGTTGTTTTCTGGTAGACATTTCATTACCCAAGCTAAGTAATATCATCAGTGCTGGAAGGGAGTGAAATTTTCTCTCTGTTTACATATAAGTCCCTGCTAGTTTGGGTAATGAAACATCTCCAAGAAAAGGTCTATAGAGATTCTCCATTATCCAGATCATGGTTGTCCCAACGATGCTTTTTTGAAGAGGCAACTGGACTTTCTGGTTTTCCTTTGAAGGCGTTTCGCTTCTAATTCCAGAAGCTTCTTCAGCTCTTGGTTGAGAAGCAAAAATCTTCAAAGAAAAACCAGAAAGTCCAGTTGCCTCTTGAAAAAGCACCTTTGGGGAACTACAAGAAAATAACCGAGCTCAAAAAGCATCACGGACCCCATAGTCATTGTCATCCTCCTCTTCCTCCTCCTCCCCCCCGTAAACCCCATTCCCTTCTAGCTCTGATGATGTTACTCAGTTGGGTATTGAAACGTCTGCAAGAAAACCACCAAGCTCAGAGCACCAAAGATTTCAACTCTTGACCTACAAATATTCTCCTTTCAAATTTGTTTCTCTTCTGATCTGCATGGATCACTTCATTCAAAACAACGAAGATCCAATCGTGTCAAAGTCCTGGTGAATCGGGCTCCCTGTGCTCAGAACGTGACTTAAATCCTTGTCATTTGGAAATTGTGATTGATTCAGGTAGGCAAGTGTTATAGGCACCAAACAAAGCATCAAAGTGCTGGTCTGCAGGAACCAAATCAAGAAACCATGTTTTTTCTTCTTCTGAAACTTTTCCATCCACGTTGAACGTTGCAGAATTCAGACGACTAGGCTGAGGGTTTTTTTCCCCCTCCAAATGCCACACAAAATCATCTCTCAGGGAAGCAGAATTGCCCTTCTGCTAGCTCCCAAAAAGGGTTAAATAACAGACCTGGATTAGGGGATTGAGGGCTCGTTCAGACGTGCAGATTTAACCTTTGCAAATGACTTTTCAAGCAACCTAAGATCCAGAGGCCGCTTTGTTATATTTGCGTATGAATACAGGGATTCCATTTTAAGCGCACATCTTATCCACCTGTCTCTCACCATTCGTATCCAAACACTTAAGATTCATTCTGAGTTCTTTCACGAGGACCCGAGCCGTGATTTGTGGTTTGGACCAGGGGTGGGATTCAAATTTTTCTACTACCGGTTCTGTGGGCGTGGCTTGGTGGGCGTAGTAGGGGAAGAATACTGCAAAATCCCCATTCCCACCCCACTCCAGGGGAAAGATATTGTAAAATCCCCATTCTCTCCCACCCCATTAACCTGCTTTCCAGCTCCGTCCTCCTGTGCAGGGCAACAAAAGAAGATCCAGCCAATCAGCTGGGACTCGATGGGAGGCAGAGAAGAGATGGGGTTGGCAGAGCCAGTCAGAGGTGGGATTGGCCGGTTCTCCCAACTACACAAAATTTCCGCTACCGATTCTCCAAGACTGGTCAGAACCGGCTGAATACCACCTCTGGTTTGTTCCCATTCCCATTACCGTCCCAGCCAATCTGAGCACAATTCCTCCCTGGAGAATGACTTACCTCCATTCCCGACAACAATTCCCACAGTGAGATGTATTGCTGCATCAGGATGGCCCCGTAGGATGCTTTATGTGAAATTATCGGAGGTGGAGGGAGCGGCGTCTCTTTGGACAAAGAGAGAAGAGAAAGAACCTGGTTGAATCCAAGCACTGGGTTGGTGGGAGAAATTTCCCCAATTTCCCAATTTTGAGGGGGTGGGTGGGGCTTGAGAAGAGCTTAGTTCAGTGGTAGCTAACCTTTTCGGGCTCTTGTGCCCAAAAATGACGTGCGCGCTTCCACGCTTGCGCTCCAGCACTCAGAAGGCAATGCGCACCTCCCACGCCCCCTATGCATGCGTGCGCTATCCCCACCCACCACCCACCCACCTACCCTTACCTGCAACTGCACCTCACAGCTGATTTTCAGCCGGTTTGAAGGAAGGCTTCTGCAGGCTTTGCAGGCTGAAAACTAGCCCTGTTTCGTCACTTCCGGTATTTTCGGAAAAACAGGAAGTGACGAAACGGGGCTAGTTTTCGGCCTGCAAAACCTGCAGAAGCCTGCAGAAGCCTTCCTCAAGCCTTTGAGAGGCCGGAAAAGGCCTCAAATTGGCCAAAAATCGGCTGTGAGGTGCATGTATGCGCATCGAGGTAAGTCTGCCCACAGCTCACATGCCGACACAAATGGCTCTGTGTGTCACGGTGCCACAGGTTCACCCTCATGGGCTTAGTTAGTCCTTGACTTACGAACACAACACAACGAGCTCAAAATTTATCTTGCTAAGCAAGACTTTGGGGTGATGGAAGGAGAGGGGGAGGGAGGGAGGAGGATCATTTCTGCGTTGAATGAGGTGTAGGAGCTAGCTGATCTACAAAAGCTAAGCATAGCCAGACCTGGGTAACCCTAAATGGAGGAAATGTTAGGACTCTTGGCTAAACTACTAAGATGAAATAGAAAAAAAAGTATGTTTTCAAGCTGGGCTCCTCTGCTCCCACCAGCCTCCGGAGAAGGCAAAGGACCTGCTCCTTCGGTTCATGCAATTACCTATCATGCTGGAAAAAAGCTTGCGCAGTTTGAAGTACTTGGCGGTGTAATCTCCAGCCTCGGTAAGCACAGCGTCGTAATCTGGGAGAAAAAACAAAAGTGGAGCAGGTAGGGGGGGGAGAATCTAGTTTACCTTATTTATAGGTGTGTGTCATGGAAATCACAAGACTGTAACACACATAAACAGGTGGGATTCACACAACACTCTTAACCAGGCTAGGAGCAATCCCAGGGTTGACTTTCTCACAACAGACTAAGTTTGGATAGTACTGATTACTAGCACTGATGATGTTAACTAGTTTGGGTAATGAAACATCTGCAAGAAAACAACCAAGCTCAGAAAAAGCACCATGGGCCCCTCATTTCAACCCAAGCTATTAATATTCTCCTCTATTGGTAAGCTTGGATAGTTTTAATCCAGGTTTTAATCTTTTGGGGTTTCAAGTTCAGTTGATCAATGTGAATTTAAAAAATGGGTTGTTATATACGTAGAAATTACATATTATGAGTTACACCTGTGGAAATGAACAGAAGGGAAGCCATACTTATCTGATATTTGAACTATCCAATGATTATTGGACAGTTATATAACTATATCTAATAAACATGTACTGTTTTGTAACTTGTTACGTTCTAAAGTAAACATCAGGCTTTTGGGCAGAACATGAGTCTGTACCTTTTGGCATAAGGATATAACTAGATAACATCATCATCCCCACAAACAGGGCATCTTAACAATTTAATAGTAATAATTAACAGATTTAATAGAGTTGGAAGGGACCCTATAGGTCATCTAGTCCAACCCCCCACCCAAGCAGGAGACCCTACACCATTTCTTACAGATGGCAGTCCAATCTCCTCTTGGAAGCCTCCAGTGATGAAGCTCTCACAACTTCTGAAGGCAACTTCTGTTCCATTGGTTGATTGTTCTCCTGTTAGAAAATTTCTCCTTCTTTCCAGGTTGAATCTCTCCTCGTTCAGTTTCCATCCATTATTCCTTGTCCGGCCTTCAGGGGCTTTGGGAAATAGCTTGACCCCTTCCTCCTCTCTGTGGCAGAACCTCAACTATTGGAAGACTGCTATCCTGTCTCCCCTGGTCCTTCTCTTCGCTAGATTTGCTATGCTCAGTTCCTGCAACCGTTTGTCGTATTTCTTCCCACCCTACAAGCGACAGGGCTTGCTGGAGAATTGAAACTGTCCCCCATCACACTTTTGGCTTTCATTTGAATGAGGTACCAGCAAAAACCCCAGGGATTATGGGCTAAATGACCATCGTTTCGGGGAAGCTCCTCCTCCTTCCAAACTGAGATTGTTGTCCATTCTAGTTGGGTTCTCCCAGGTGGGAACTAACCGGCTTCTTCTGCCTTGACCTCCCAAACCCAAAGCATCCTTTGCAAGCCAGGCCTGATCGGCCAAGGGAACCTTACCGTAGCTGGTGATGGTTGCCTTGTAGTCGTTAAAATGTAGGGCGCCGTTCATGAATCCGAAATTGGTGCCTCCGTGGAACATGTACAGATTGATGGAGGCTCCAGCCCGGAGGACGCCCTCCACCCTTTCCAGCATCTCTGCGGAGAGAAACAAAAAGCTTCTGGTGTAGCATATTCTTGGCTACTACAGGTAGTCCTCGACTTACAACAGCTCGTTTAGTGACCGTCTGAAGTTACAACGCCGCTGAAAAAAAAAGTGACTTGTGACAGTTTTTCACACTTTTAACGACCGTTAAAGCAGCCTCCCGAGGGCGACATGATCAAAATTCAGACGCCGGATAACTGTGTCATGCCCCTTCGGAATCTGATTCGGAGGGGGAGACCAAGCAGCTGACAGGGAGTGGGAGTGTGGCTCCGTTGGCTGTGGAGGAAACTGGGGAAGGGCAACGTCCAGCTGGGCAGAGCAGGGGAGAGGTAGAGCAAGAGAAAGGGAATTTGGAGGAAGACCCAGGCCCACCCCCTCTTCATCTTAGGGCAGGGAGGAACGGAGAAGGGAGCAACATGGGTTGTGTGGCTTACGAGGGAGGAAAAGGCCCTGATTCCCTTCATTAGCTGCAGCTGGGAACTCAGTGTTTGAAAAGGGAAGCTGCACGCAGCAAATTGTTGGGAGCAAATTGTGAATTAATCTGATATCGTCGAGGCTTATCTGGGTTCCTGGCGTCTTCCCAACTGTGTATGTTTGGCTGTGCTTTCAAGTCTGCAATTCCTTCTCCTGCACTGTCCAGTTAATTGCTGCAGCGTGGTTTGTTTGGATTTTTAGTTATAGTTTGTATGTACCTTGTTTTGGACTGAATTTTCTACAGTTAAAGGCTGTTCCTGGGAGAGTTTTTCTCCAGCCGAAGGTAACCTGGACATTGAGAGCAAAGTTGGAGATTAAGGGACTCTTCTTGCTTATTTAACTGTCGCCTTTGTGCCACACCCCGGGTTATCACAAACTGACTCATGCTTATGACAGTGGCAGGGTGCTAGAATCGCGTGATTCCCCCTTTTTGTGACCATCTGACAAGGAAGATCAATGGGGGGAGCTGGATTCACTTAACGACCGTGCTACTGATTGAAGACCTGCAGGGATTAACTTAGCAAAGGTGGCAAGAAAAAAAAATCGTAAAATGGGACGGGCAAAACTCCATTCAAACATGAAAAATAAATGTAGGGTTGTTGTTGTTGTGTTGTTGTTGTTTTTTTACTTCCCCTGGGCATGGAGCAACTGCGCCAGCAAAGAACTTACCGTCTGCATCGAAGACATTGTGAGGTTCTCCCCAGCTGTCAAACCAACCAGTCCAGTACTCCATCACCATCGTTGGCATGTCGTGCTGAAAAAGGGAAAACACATCATGTGAAAACACGACCTCGTTTGAAGTTGATGAATACGTGTTCAACTCGGCAATCGTTTAATTTTGAACTCAGAAATTTTTGAGGCTAGAATTCAGTCTCCTGTTGATTGTCCCAAAGTCACCCAGCTGGCTTTCATGCTTAAGGTGGGACTAGAACTTCCAGCCTCCTGTTGATTTTCCCAAAGTCACCCAGCTGGCTTTCATGCTTAAGGTGGGACTATAACTTCCAGCCTCCTGTTGATTTTCCCAAAGTCACCCAGCCGGCTTTCATGCTTAAGGTGGGACTATAACTTCCAGCCTCCTGTTGATTGTCCCAAAGTCACCCAGCCGGCTTTCATGCTTAAGGTGGGACTAGAACTCCCAATCTCCTAGTGATTGGCCAAAGTCACCCAGCCAGCTTCTCATGCCTAAGGCAGGACTATCCGGGATTGTAATACCATTGTGATACATTAACTCATCCTTGATTTTTTTTTTCTTCATTTTTCTCTCTCTCTTCTTTCCCGTCTTTTTCCCTGAATGCTGCACCTTTTATAATTCGAGCCTACAAGCCAAGAACTATCTGGTTTTGCTGAGATAGAAGCCACTTTGAAAGACCTCCTGGGTGAAGATCAGAGAACGAATGCCTCTTTTTAAAAATACAATGAACACAAAAGGCGAGGGGGTAGGATTCAATGAAAACGGAAATGACTTTTGTATCTTCTTTCACGTCCAGATCCTGCAGCAAATGAAGAATCAATGATTCTTCTCAGTGGGTTATTTACCAACGGTTTGACAAGAAGGTTAAAAAGAATCTTCCTCCAGCACATCCAAGTAAATATAGTTCCCAAAAGCCAGTTCTGCCTGGGTATAAATTCTTCGGGGCACATTTGAGCACCGACCAATTATGGGTCTCTAACGACCGTTTTTACTTTGGGCTGCAGAAAACGAACCCCAAGGAAACCAGGGATGGATTTACGTTTGGAAGACAAGGATAAATACAGTCTGGGAAACGGAAACCTCGACATTTTAACAGATAATCAGAGTTGGAAGGGACCTTATAGGTCATCTAGTCCAACCCCCCACCCAAGCGGGAGACCCTACACCATTTCTGACAAATGGCAATCCAATCTCTTCTTGAAGGTCTCAAGGGATGGCGCTCCCACAACCTCCAAGGGCAAGCTGTTTGTAGAAAAATTGGCATCAATTCTGTTCCAATTTTTTTCTACAAAGCTAGCAGATCTGGAAGTCACCATTCTCTTGCTCCCATCGCTAAAGCAACAGCTCTTTGAGAGCCAGGTTCACTGTCAGCTTTGAAAAACATATTCCATGCTCCCCGCTCCCAACTTCTCAGGCTAGGTAGCAGTGTGGAATATGGTTTCCATAATATGGTTTTTTGGGGGAGACCCTCCTAGTCCTCGGATCACAACAAGAGCATTATAAGGTGAGGCCACACTTTGGTAAGCATCTTCCTTACCTGCAGTTTGTTGAGGGAGGACAGGAGTCCCGGCTCCATCTTCTGAAAGTTGATCGTGGCCAAGGCTACGGAGAAAGAAGGAAAACTGGCAGACCAAGAAAAGATTCCAAACCAGGCCACAACAGCGGTTAATCCGTAGGGAATCCTTGTGGACTTATGACTATAACTAGGAGCAGAATGTCTGTGGCTAAGTAAGGAAATTGTTAATTGTACGATCTTTCTTCCTTGAGTTATGACCATAACTGGGACTAGAATTTCTGTGGCTAAGTAAGGGAATTGTTGTTGTTTTGCTGTGGTCCTTAAGTGGAAGAGAAGGACCAGGGGAGACAGGATAGCAGTCTTCCAATATTTTTAGGGGCTGTCCCAGACAAGAGGGGGAACAACCTTTTTTCCAAAGTCCAAAGCACCTGAAAGCCAGACAAGGAACAATGGATGGAAACTGAACAAGAGAGAGAGAGACAGAGACAGAGAGAAACAGAAGAGATATACAGAAAGAGACAGAGAGAGAGGAGGAGAGAGAGAGAGAGACAAAGAGACAGAGAGGGGGAGAGAAAGAGAGAGACAAAGAGACAGAGAGGGGGAGAGAAAGAGAGAGACAGGGAGACAGAAAAAAACAGAGACAGAAAGAGACAGAGAGCGGGGGGAGAGAGGGAGAGAGAGAGAGAGAGAGAGAAGAGAGGGATAGAGCTGCACCTAAACCATCCAGGATGGCATTTTCTCTTGTGGGAAGAAAACACTTCCCTTTCTTCTCCTTTCCCCCCCACCCCCAGCCTGCCTTTTAATGCACCCTTTGTGCCATTCTCACAGCCACCTCTTCCGAGGTTGTCATCATGGCATCACTCAGGGCCCTCGTTATTACACATTCCTGATTAACTTGACAGGTTGACTCTAATGAGCAGATTGTTGTGACATCTGAAGCAAGGGCTGGGATCCAGGCACACAAGCCTATCGGGGACACACAACTCCCAGCCAGGGGATGAATGAATGAGCGAGGGAGGAAGCGAGCTTGAGCGCTCGCAGGCAGTGAACGCATTTGGGCAAAAACACACAACACCAAAGCTCAGAGCTCTCTTTTTCCGCCCCCACCTCCGTTCTCCCTAGCACTAGAAGGGAGAGAGCGACCCCACATGGACACAGAAGGGAATGGCTGGCACTTCAAGGGAAGGAGAAAGATCTAAGCGGGATGTGGTAGCCCAAAGGGGGCAGCCTGCTGGACAACCCCCTGGACTTGGGTTTCAGAAGGGCAAAGGCCCACAGGGAGCAGCCGTGAGTGCTCGGGTTTGATTGCTGTGGGCATTGCCAAGGGGTTCTGCTTCAAAGCAAGCAAAGAGAACCTCCACCTTAGCTTGGGCAAAGGGATAATTCGAGAAAACGACTTGATTTGGGGCTCATCTTTTGGAAAGAGACCCAAGGCAGGGTTTATTTGCAGCAGGGCAACTTTAAGACTTGAGAGTTGAAGTCCACAAGTCTCAAAGTTGCCAAGTTTGGAGACTTCTGATTTACAGAATCGCAAAGTTGGAAGGGACCCGTGGAGGTCTTCCAGTCCAACCCCTTGGCTGAAGCAGGAAGTTTTGTACCACTTTGGGCAAATGGCTGCCCAGTCTCTTTTTGAAAACCTCCAGGGATGGAGAACCCACAACTTTTGGAGGCAAGCTGTTCCACGGAGTAATTGTTCTCACTGTCAGGAAATTTCTGTATAGTTTTAGGTTAGATCTCTCTTTGATAAGTAGAATGGAATAGAATAACAGAATTGGAAGGGACCTTGGAGGTCTTCTAGTCCAACCGCCTGCCTAGGCAGGAAACCCTACACCCCTTCAGACAAATGGTTATCCAATCAATTCTTAAAAACTTCCAGTGTTGGAGCATTTACAACTCCTGGAGGCGAGTTGTTCCACTGATTAATTGTTCTAACTTTCAGGAACTTAATTCCAGGTTGCTTCTCTCCTTGATTAGTTTCCATCTGTTGCTTCTTGTCCTGCCTTCAGGTGCTTTGGAGAATAGATTGACTCTCTCTTCTTCGTGGCATCTCCTCAAATATTGGAAGAGAGCTATCAAGTCGTGCCTAGTCCTTCTCTCCGTTAGATTAGGCGTACCTAGTTCGCAATTATTTATTCATTCGTTCATTCCGGCCTCTGGTTTGGCCAGCTCTCCATGAATTGCAGGGAAGGGCAAGTTCTTAATTTTGAACCAGAGCGTTGAGAGATCTGTCAT